GGAATCGATCTACCTCAAGACCCAGCAATACCACTCTTGGGCATATACACAAGGAACGCTCAATCATACCACAAGGACACATGCTCAAGTATGTTCATAGTAGCATTATTCATAGTAGTCAGAACCTGGAAACACCTAGATGCCCCTCAACCAAAGAATAAATAAAGGAAATGTGGCACATATACACAATGGAATACTACTCAGCAGTATAAAACAAAATGACATCATGAAATTTGCAGACAAATTGATGGAACTAGAAAATTTCATCCTGAGTGAGGTCACCCAGACTCATGAGGACAAACATGGTATGTACTCACTCATAAGTGGATACTAGATGTAAAGCAAAGAATAACCAGACTACAACCCAAAGCTCCAGAGAAGCTAGTTAACAAGGAGAACCCTAAGAGGGCTGCATGAATCGATCACACTGGGAAAGGGTAATAGATGAGATCTCCACGAGTAAACTAGGGGTGATGGAGGTGGCAATGGAAGGTAGGGGATGGGAGATGAGAACATGAGGGAATGGGATAGTCGAGCTGGAACAGGGACTGAGTGGGAGAGCAATGAAAAAGAAACCATTATAGAGGGAGACATCATGGGGATAGAGAGAAACTGAGAGCTAGGGAAGTTTCTAGTAATTCACAAGGATGACCCTGTAGACAAATTTCTAAATGGTCTTAATAAATAAAAAACACAGAGACAGAAATTTGTGTTATAGCCCCAGAGAAAGATCAGAGGAATAGGACAGACCACGAGCTAACCTCACCTCCCCAACTCCACAGCTTCCAAAGAGAGCTTCTTCTGTATACTCACGTTTATATGCCTTTTCTGTTCTGTTCTCTCATTGGCTCTCTTAGCCTAGCTACATCACTTCCTCTTCCTACACAGCTCTGTCACTTTCTGTCTGTCTATACAGACCTCCAGACCTCTATGGTCGGTACTGGGATTATAGGCAAGTGTCACCATGCTTGGCTCTGTTCCCTGGTGTGGCCTTGAACACACAGAGATCCTGCCTGCTAAGTGATAGGATTAAGGGTGTGTTCTACCACTTCCTGACTTCTTTGTTTACTTATAATGGCTGACTTTTTCCCTCTGATCTCCAGGCAAGCTTTATGTATTAAAGCACAAATAAAATGTCACCACATTTCAACACAAATAAACTATCACCACATGACCCAACCTTAGACTACTAGCAAGAATAGTACCTGAACTAGCCTTCCCTGATAATCAGATTGGTGAATACCCTAAATGTCATCATAGAGCTTTCATCCAGTAACTGATAGAAGCAGATGCAAAGATCCACAGCCAAGCACAAGGCCAAACTCCAGGAGTCTAGTCAGAGAGAGAGAGAGAGAGAGAGAGAGAGAGAGAGAGAGAGAGAGAGAGAGAGAAAAGAAGGATTCCATGATTAAGGGCATGAAGATCATGATGGGGAAATGTACAGAGACAACCAAACCAAACTAGTGGGAACTCATGAACTGTGGACCAATAGCTGTGAAGCCTCCATGGGACTGGACTAGACACTCTGCATAGGCAAGACAGTTGTATAGCTTGATCTGTTTAAGGGGTCACCTGACAGTGGGATCAGCATCCATCCCTGGTGCATGAGAGGGCTTTTTGGAGCCCACTGCCTATGGTGGGACACCTTGCACAGCCTTGGTTCAGGAGGAGGGGCTTGGACCTGCCTCAACTGAATGTATCAGGCTCTGCTGACTCCTCCTTACCTTGGAGGAGGTGGAATCGGGGGTGGGTTGGGAGCAGATGGCTGGGAAGTAGGAGGAGGGAGGGGAGAGGGATCTGTGGTTGGTATGTAAAATGAACAGAAAGTTTCTTAATAATAAAAAAAATTAATTAAAAAAAGAAAAATACTTTAAAGAGACAACAATAGGAAGGCTAGACATCAACTGTCCCTATTTGCAGATGTACTGAGTCTAGAAAACTCCAGGATCTGAAAAACACAATAAAGTTGGAATATGTGTGTGTGTGTGTGTGTGTGTGTGTGTGTGTGTGTGTATGTGTGTGTGTGTGTGTGTGTGTGTGTGTGTGTGTGTATGTGTGTGTGTGTGTGTGTGTGTGTGTGTGTGTGTGTGTGTGTGTGTGTGTGTGTGTGTATAGAAAGGATGTGAAGAGAAAGGAACACTTATACATTGTTGGTAGGGTGTGGGAGCCCACGGTGACTCAGCTTGAGGCTGAAGTCTGTCCTGACCCAAAAGACTTCAAGGCTTGCTTGATCTAGTCTCTTCAGAAGCTGAGAGAAAGCTCTGATAAGGCTCCTAGAAAAAGTACAGGGGCTGTGAGACAGTCTGACTAGCTCGTGGGAAAGAACTAATTATTTAGCAAATGTCCATTCTAGGCAGGCTGCTGATGTCAGCAGGTGGCACATGTTGGAGATAACGAAACTGCCTGTTCCTTGAATCAAGGACAGGCTAGACCGCCTGTGCTCTGCTTTGGTCCACTTTAGCCTTTCAGTTTGTATGTAAGGTGGCTGCGAAATAAACTCAGGGCTCATGTGGTATTGACCAGAAGCCCTCCCGGCACTGATTTTCTGTCTCCATCTCTTCTTCTGTCTCTGTTTGTTCCTCAGCCTCACACCTACTAGGGTATCCTAGTTGACTCCTTGGCTGGCTCCTACAGTAGGGTTGTAAATTAATATAGATATTGTAAAAATCAATTTGAAATTTCTCAAAAATAAAAAGAAAACTAGAACAACTGTGTGACCAAGCTATTTTGCCCCAAGCATATACCCAGAGAATTCCATGCCACATCATGGGGAAACCTGCACCCCCCATGCTTATTGGAAAGAGAGTGTGGGAGGAAGGTCCTAAGGGAGGAGAGCAGTACACACTATCAAGTGGACATTGTGTAGAAGCCACAGGTCCCTTCCCTTACTCTGCCTCCTCTCTTCAGGCTCTACTGCAGACCCAGAAACCTGGAGAAAATCCATATGTAAAAGCAAGCAAGCACGTAAGATATCTCATAGTAGACTAAAAAAGGAGGTCACTGGCCGAGAGGAGAAGGGAGAGACCAAAGTTTTACATGATGCAGCAGGTGGAGTCCCACATTGCCCCATCCTTTGTTGTTCCTGGTCGAAGCCTTTCTTCATAGATCTGCCCCAGAATTTCTGGGATCCCGCCTCTGTGGAAGTGACTTCCTCCTTCCCTGTTTGCCCAGCGTGTGGCCATATGGGAACAAGAAACGATTATGAAGGAGGAGATCCTGATTCTGGCCTAATCCTGCTCTCTCAGCAGTAATGCCAACACAAATAGGCCACGACTCTACTCTAGGCCTCATCTGCATGTGAGAGGATGGATTCATCTCCAGCTAAGAATTCAAGATTCCCACCATGCCACCGGAACCTTAGGAGATGTTCCCTCTGAGGGTCAGGAACCTTTGGGGAAGAATCAGCCCTCATCGACACCTGTTGAAACAGAGCCTTGTCTCACTGCAGTCCAACTCTTTGGAGTATGTCTACCTCACTTTGTAGTACTCTTTAGGGATGTTTGGCTTATTTTCTAGAATGTCCCATTCTCTTCTGCACCTGTGGGGTCGCCACTGTCAGTGATTGACTCTTCAGCTGTCAATTGTACCAGTTTCCAATTACTGCTATAACAGGTCATGGTAATCTTGATATCTTAAAACGAAACACATTTAATCCCTTAAACTTCAGGGGACAGGGATCAGAAGTCCAAAATTAGTTTCATCAGCCTAGGGGAAGAAAACATTTCATTACCCTTTCCAGCTTCTAGATCTACATTGTTTTTAAGATTAATAAACACGACTGGGGGGGGGGGGGGTCATCCCTTTGCGGACCTCAGAAGTGTGTCACTAGAAAAGATACCAGTACATGGGGCCTGATCTGGGGGTTGACATCAGCTGCAATGTCGCTCTGTCACACACTGAGTGGTCTTTGGCAGGTTATTTCTCAGTCTTTAACCTCAGTTTCCACAATATGAGTTAGACAGAATGGCCTACCAACATGCTACCAGTCTATGAACCATTGATCAGAACTACTGTTAATTCAATTCTACATTTCTCTCTGTCCTAGGTGAAGTAATTTGTGGCTGAGAATTATTTTGTTATATTTTTTATTTTATATTTAATATTATATTTTACAGCCAAACCAGACACTTAAGCTTTGTCATACCATTTGTTATGTGGTTTAGGTTGCTGACCTATGACCTAATATGAACTTCAGAAATCCTTGTTTCCCAGGGACACAAGCTGGAGTTTAGAGAGGGAGATAAATCATCTGGGGTGCTGTATACATTCCAATACAGTGGGCACTATTACCCCACTTTACAGGTCAGAAAACTTGAGTTCTAGTAAGGTACAATGATTTTCTAATGTCACAATGATAATAAGACAATGAAGTCCCCTTAAGACTGAACCACATCCCTTCCCTCTGTCTTGTGTTGTTGTCCCAGTCACAGTTTCCCTCTGGAATGTCAATCTAATGACCCTTAGGATCAACAATGTTCTTCTGCATCCTTCTTTCCTGATGCTTCCCAAGCAAATCTACATGCACTGGTCCCCACCCTCATACAGATGTTCCCATTCTCATTAGAAGCATTGAGGAAATGTCTTGAGTCCATTTAGCCAAGAAGACACATGAAGGTCTCACTCAGTATTTACTCATTCTCACTGTTTCTGCAAACTGTAGTTTATCCATAATAGAATCAGGTAGATTCAACCCAAATGAAGATCAATTTAAAATCATGAACTATATTTTAAAGTAAGATTTATTATGAAAGTATATGAAATCAACTGCATGGTCATATCCACAATAGAAGAGGAACAGTAATGGTGGACCATCCCCATAGAAGACACATGTCCTTGAACTAAATATAAATAGTAGAAATAACAGCAAATAAAATAACAAAGTCTATATAAATACTTGGTTAAGAAAGGAGAGAGGAATTCTGAATGGAAGGAGCAAGACACTTCTCAATTAGGAGAAACAGGGCTCAGGAGGCCTTCCCTGAAGTGGTTCATCCTGCAGCTCAGTTCAGCTCCAGGTCATTCACATACTCATTGACCCAGGGCTGGCTGGGGTCCGCACAGACTTGCTTGCCTTTTCTGGTGAGGAATCTATAGAAGAAGGAGAGGATAGATGAGAATCCCATGGTTCCTTAGAGGACATCTAGCATTGTCCTTTGCGGGTGGTAGGCATCTCACTCTGTTGAGCATTGCTTCTATGGGCAGCCATGGTAGATGGGGTACTTTATGCATTACCCTGACACTAGACTTCCTGGAACTCTGACCCCTGGGTGGGTAGCTGTGGCCCCTGGGGTTCCCTATGTTAGGAAACTGTGGGCTTTATGATCAATATGATGATGTTTCCCAATTTTTCATTGCTCTTTTAAATGGTTTTTCTACGTAAGTATGCATCATTTTGACTGTTTCTGATTTCAAAGGCTGTAGCTATCTTCTTCTCAAGAGCTCCCCTCCCATTTTAATGACCATTAATTCACTATCAGAACTCAGAAAGTGACCTCATGACCTCACTGTTCTTTGGCACAGCTTCAACCCTTAGAACTCAATCCTTCTCTTAGCCCTTTCACCTGAACCTGGCCCTTTCTGAGGCTGGCCCTCCCCCCAGTGTGTACTTACACCACTGCTGGCTTGGAGCAAAGGCTGCTGGTCTCATAGTAATCTGTCACAAAGTTCCGAGGAAGCTTCTGAGCAGTGTAAGAAAAGCAGCAGGAAGTGGGAGGGTCAGAGCCCACTGGAAGAAAAAGCCAGGGTAAGGTCAAACCTGCTGTTCATTCCAGATCTTCCCTATGGACTACTAGAACCCTAAACATGGTCCCTTGAATGCAAGGTTCTCCACCCAGAATGAGACTTTTATTCTATAATGGTAGTCCTCGAAAAGGAGAAAAAATTCTAGGAGATTGAGACTGGATTGAGTCTCAGAACACCTCTCCATTCCTTCATGTTTCAGTTAGGGAAATCAAGTCATAGAGACAGACAAGCTTAAACCAGAGAGAAAGCCAATTCTTTCCGGACCACCATTTCCCTCTATTGGCTGTTAATTTTTAAGGAAACAGGAGCTTCAATATTAATGAATGTCTGATAGTCTCTACTGTTAACAGCAGAGTCGGGAATCTTCCAGCTCACTTTTGTCCCCTGACCAATCCCCACTGTTGTTCTGGCCCTGGCTGGAAAACTGAACCCACTGGGTATCCAAGGGAGCAGCTATGGCAGAGTCCACTTACTTGGTGCTGAGAGCGCTGGAGCCCAGAAGGCAGCCATGACCAGGAGGAGAGAGAGAGCAGACACACACAGCTTCATGGTGTGGCTGGGGGAGAGGTTGGCACAGAGCTGAGACTGCAGAGCCCAGAAGCTGCAGAAGCTGCAGAAGCTGGCTGAGTGTTGTGCTGATCTGAGCTAGGAACCCCTCTTTATAGGGACTCTGGGGCCTGGGACAGAGGTGGGGTTCTGGGAGGAAAATGGAATATCCTGAGTAAAGATGATGTCATGGCATCAAGATGGAAACTAAAGTTGGCTGAGTGTGAGGAGTTCCTCACAGACTGTCTTCCCCCAGCAGTGACATCACGGTAGAGAAAGGAGGGAGTTGGAGGGGAGAAGCGGGGTGCATGCTGGAGGGGGAAGTGGTACACCAAACATAATGACTGAGATGGGGTGTGTGTGTTTTTGAACCCGAGAGGAAGGATGCAGTGTTGACACCTGCTAGCAAGGTCTGTGGATAGGAACTCGCTGCACTAGGCACCTCAGACAGTGGAGCCTTCATGTCAGTCTTTCCAGGTTGTCTGGAATCTCTGGAACAAACATGGGGTGTGAGCACAGACAGAAAACACTAACCACTCCAGACTCTTCCACACACAAAAATACCATCCAGTCAGCAGCATTCAGAAGAGTTGTTTTATCCTATCTAGAACAAGGAAGGGATAGAAAAAGAGAGACAGAAGGAGAGAGACAGACAGACAGAGGTGTGTGTGTGTGTGAGAGAGAGAGAGAGAGAGAGAGAGAGAGAGAGAGAGAGAGAGAGAGAGAGAGAGAGAGAGAGAGAAAGAGAGAGATTTAATGGAATGATAAGAGAGGCAGAAAATGAAACCAAGTTTGGGAGACCCAGACATAGAGTGTTCTAGTAAACAAATAAGGCTTGATACCTAGTGATCAGTATGTGCTGCTGACAGAATGTGTAGCCCACAGAATCAACTGTGTGTTTTCTAGTAGTCGCTAGGAAATGCCTCATGTTCCTAACCTCTGGGGACCTGTGTGGGAGATGCAGCCTACCAAGGCTGTGGGTACATCTGCTGTGTGTCAGGTAGAGATGGTGGAGTAGGGCTCCTCCTTCCCTCAAGGAGATCTTAGCCTTTTGATGCAGGGACACTGAAGGCAGCAATTGTCCCATGAGGTGGAATAAGGTGGCACATGAGTGGTAGAAACCGGGCATCAGGGAGTCTGAGGATGAATGCTGTCCCTTATGTTTAGGTAGAGACTTCGAGGAAGGTTACAACTCACTATGCTAAGGAGGAGCCTCTGCCTACATCAGCGAGAGTGATCATCTCCATTTGATTGAGGGACTGCAGAGTCACCTGCTCTGGGGCACAGGAAGATGGTAGATATGAATGGATGTTTGGTCTGTGAGGTGGAGTCTTACTGTAAGCATGCTTAGATCAAGTGAAGGCTATTCTAAAAGGGATGAATTGGAGTGAGTCTCAGACTATATCATTTTGTCTTAATGTTACATACAGAAAAACCAGGATATGCAGAGGACACTTAAACCAGTGGTGTGTGGCAGAGCGAGTCAGCAGTCTGACATCATGGTGGTCCTTAACCCTTTATGAATGGTGAGCTAAGGATGTAATTATTTCTGTGTAGCTCAGCAGCTCAGAATGAGAGTTGATGGCAAGCCAGCCACTGTGGAGTGTCATGGCCATCTGGGGTTTCCTGGACATCCAGTTGTGTAAGGATGTGGCATGCTTCTGGGACAAATGGTGGCTCTGTCCTTTGTAGCTCTAAGGATAAGATTCCCTAAACAGGTGTGGAATCTGGACCCCTCTTCCCTGCAGAAGTAGGCAATGAAATGTCTCCTGGAAGAGATGGATACTCAAAGATTTCAAAGTGGCTAGATTCAGTTGAAAGTAAAGAGACAAGCTCCAATATGACGGTTGGTAGTCTTTGACTATTGCTTGTCTGTAAGTCGGGTCTTTAAAGAAGGCTGCATAAGTGAGCAGAGAAGGGATGGGAGCCATAGGAGAAAGTACAGTGTCCCTAGTCTCCGAGTAATGTGCCTGACTCTTTTGCTGTCCCAATTATAGAATCTCAGAAAAGAAGCTGTAGTGGTAAAATTATAACAGCTCTGGGATTTTCCAGTCATCTGGTGGCTGGCTTTGGAGTTAACTCGTTTTTGCAGGGTTATTTCTGAGGGATAGAGAGGGGTTAGTTTGATCACATGCCTTGCTCCATGTGTTTCTAGTTCTTCCTTCAAATTGAGGAAACATTCCTAGGTGTCTGTAACTTTCCCCCCTGTATTATACACATGCTATATCAGAAAGATAGGCAAATATATTTGTGTTTGTTTATTTTGCCATCATTTATGGAATAACCATATATTAACATGATACAGCAGTGGTTTTGTTGTGTTTTGCTTGTTTGTTTAGGTGGGTTTCTTGTTTTCGTTTTTTCTTTTTGTAAAAGTATTTTTTTCTCTAACACTGGTTATCCTGGTACTTGCTCTGCAGATCAGGCTGGCCACAAAATCAGTGATACAATGGCCTTTGCATTCTCAGTGCTGGGGTTAAAGGCATGTACCACCACCACTTGGCTTTAGACACACCAGTTTTGTTTTGTTTTTTTTTTTTTTTTTTTTTTTTTTGGTTTTTGGTTTTTCGAGACAGGGTTTCTCTGTGTAGCTTTGTGCCTTTCCTGGAACTCACTTGGTAGCCCAGGCTGGCATTGAAATCACAGAGATCCACCTGGCTCTGCCTCCCAAGTGCTAGGATTAAAGGCATGCGCCACCACCTCCCGACTAGACACAAAAGTTTTAATGGAAGCAACAGGCCAGGCAGTTCTGCTTTCCATGATAACCCGGGCCAAAGCAAACACAAGGTTTTTTCAAACCTTAATTGATGATATTAACTCTAATATCACTTATTACACAACACACATTAAACCCATCTCTCTATCTCTGTACACATACATACCTATATACATGTGTTACAGAAATGGCTGTCAGAGTTAATAGGCCACAGCAGAATTCAGGAGGTTTCAGAAGTCCTGAGGAGCAGAGAAACAGAGGAATGTACGGAGAATCTAGATTGATAAGATAATGAACCAGGGTGGAGGGGAAAACCTGAAGAAACTATGGGGACTGTAAGTCAGGACACTTCCAGTCACCTGCTTGAAAGCAAAGCTGTGGAGTTTAGTTTGGCTGCAGAAGCCATAGCAGGACTAGGCTTAGATGCAGGAACTGAAGGACAGATGGATGGCAGGTCGAGGTAGGTGAACATGAAGTTCGACAGAGGAGGGAACCACATAGAAGGAGACAGAGGCCATCAGTTTTAAGGTCAGCTGTGTGATATAGAGGACTAATGCTGTGATATTGGCAGACATGGGACACTAAACTATGGTGATAAAGTTGTTTCTGGATTAAATTCTACTCCCAAAAGGATGTGTTTACTTTTCATTACAGATCCTTTGAAAAAACCAACTATGCTGAGGGAACCAGACAATCTAACTTGGACATGGCTTGTAGGCCATCCAGCTCAGGCCAGGGGAGGAGCAGAAGCACTTCCCAGAAACCAGTGCTGAGCCTGAAGGATGTGGATAGCTCCAGATTCCTAGAGGTATTTCAATTCAGTTCTAACTCCTCATGCAGACAGGAACTGGTGCTTCTAATCCATGCTTCTTAACAATTTGAAAATTATTTTCAATTATGTGTATTGTATTGGTGTGAGGGTGGGATATAGGTGACCTGAGGTCAGATGTCTGAGGGGGTCAGAGGTGTCAGATACCCCTTGAGCAGGAGTTTTAGGAAGTTGTGTGCCGCCTGTTACAGATGCTGAGAACTGACCTCTGGTCCTCTGGAAGAGCAGCATGTGCTATTAACCACTGAACCAGCTCCCCAGCCTCTTAGCTCATGCTAAACAAACCCACACCCCAGAAGTCATGGTTGTGCTCCTGGAGGTAGAGATCCAGTCCTGCAGGATGTTGTATTACCTTAAATGGGGAGTTCCTGAGCCCTTCCTGCTCCTCCTGAAATCTGTCCCAGTAAATGCAGCTCCAGCAGGCCTGCTCTGTGGGACATGCTCAGATCATTTTGTTTGCTTGGCCAGACTGATGATCACAAAATGCACCCAGAAAATATTCTTATGTTCTCTTGTTTGGAGGTACAGTGATGGCATGAGAAGAGGGATTATTGAGGAGCAACATTTCCCCTAATCTGCCAGGATCCTGGTGGTTTGGTGTCCATGGACTCTGTAGAGGCTATAGGTACAGAGCTGCTAATCAGAATAGTCAATAGGATGTGTAAAGAACTCTTCAACAAGAGAATGCTAAGGATCGTTTATTTTGGACACAGACACTAGGAAGCAGTCACCACATCTCAGATCTTCATCTTCTAAGGATGCAGTTCTAGAGCTAGGGAGTCGGCAAGCTTGGGCTCCGTGGACTCAGAAGAAATCCTCTGGGACTGGTCGTCAGTCATGCTTCTAAATATCGAAATCCTTATTTCCAGGGCTGCCAGTCTTCTCCAATACAAATTTGATCATGATTTTCATCTCTTTAGAAAGGTCTAGCTGTTCAACCCTCACTCTATGTCTGGCAGCTCATTGCTGTTTGGATCTTTGGCCTTGTTGTAGTATCTCCCCACCCCAACCCATACCCCAGAAACCCAGGGCAATCATTTTCCCACCTTTTAAGGAGGGCCAGCATATCTCCCACCTTCTGAACTTGCCTTCCTCGTCTGGTGGGCTTTGTGTATCCTAACTTAAGCTTTCTCCTCATTGACCTCCACTCTGACATCTCTCCACCTCCCCCCAGGCAATGCTAGTCACCATTGTTAGAACTTAGCAGAAGCTGTTGCAGAGCTCATGCTGACACACAGGCCTGCTCCTCTGGTCTAGTTATGTTTACCTTTTAATCTCCATTCTAACACTTGCCTGCCTGATGCATAAGGTGTTCAAATGAATAAATGCTCACCCTCACGTCATTATCTCTCTTCCTCCCAGGATCACCTCTTTTCAGGGAGACTCAGTCCTTCTAGGCTGGGGGAGTGGAGGAAGAGTGTGGTATGTCCGTTTATGACCATGTGGACCTCAGTAATTGTGATTTGTGTCATTTTGGACACTGTGTGGCTGTCTTTGCAGAGGAGAGGGCCACAGATCATGTAACCCAGTGTCCTGCTGCCCTGTACTTCCAGTTCTTTCTCTTGGACACATCCAGTCTCTTGTGTGGAGTCAGTGGACAAGCCACATGGGACTGTCCCAGCAAAATCCTTGGAACTCACTTACTCCCTTGGACATACCTTCAAAGGATGTGGTTGTGTGAATGATAATGGTCCCGATGGGCTTATATATTTGAATGCTTGGTCCCTAGCTGTTAGAGCATTTGCAGAAAGAGCAGGAACTGTGGCCTTGTTTGGTGCAATCTATCACAGCGGACAGGCTTGGAATTTTTAAAGTCCAACAGTGTTCCCAGTTAGCCTGTTCTCAGTTTCATGATTATGTGTCAAGATGGAAGCCTTCAGCTACTGCCCCAGCGCCATGCCTATCTGCCTCCTGACATGATCCCCATCGTGATGGTCATGGACTCAATGTCTGCAACTGTAATCCCCCAATAAACTCTTTCTTCTATAAGTTGCCTTGGTCAAGCTGTCACAACCATAGGAAAGTAAGTCACAGGACTATACTCACTTTGAAGACAGGCCTCAAGCAGACATAACCACACCCATTGCTACAGCACTTCATTTTACGAGGGCATGATTCATCTCCTGAGCATCTCTTCTTACAAGGTCCAACAGTATTTGGGGGCCAATGGGGACAAGCTCCAGGTTTTTGTAATTCTGAAAAAAAAATGGTACTTATGGAGCCTGAAGCAGTCAGAAAGACAAGACTGAGAGTTGATGCTAGAGGTCCGGAAGCCTGGTCACCTGCAGGAAACTGGCTTATTCTATATCCTCCTTTGCACCCGGGGCTCTTCCCTCAGCCTCACCAGCTCCAGTTTCTCTCTTAGGCCTGAGTGATCCCTGGCCACTGGGGGAGTGTGCTCCCTCCCCAAGCCTGTACAGTCTCAGTAGAAAGACCTTTGTACTGTCACAGCCTCTTCTTTACATCAGAGAAGATGCTATAAACCCTAAATGACAGTCAGCGCTCTCTCATCCCACCATACCTCAGGCTCATCTCTGAGCAGCAACTCCAGTGAACCCCACATTCAAGGCACATCTCCAAATTAGGAGAGCTCTCCTGATCTCTCCAGGCTTCTGTGAAAAGCAACTCTCTCTCTCTTAAGAAAGATAAGAGGATCACTGTTACAGGCCAAAGGAAGTGAATTCGATCCCAGCAGTGGGCACCTGACTTTCCCCTGTTGTAAATGAGCCTCAGGCCCTAGTGTGCTATGATCCCTCTCTGCTTTCAGCTTGGATCCCCTTAATACACTTACCTCCGTGAGAAGACAGAGCATAGGCCTTGTCCATCTCCATGGTGATCAAAGTCACCAGAACCAAGACTGTGGCTGCCTTCATGTTGGCTCTGGCTGGGCTGAATGCACAAATTAATTTATAGCCTCCATAATGCCAGAAGCATGGGTGTCACTGGAGACAGTCAATGGGAAGTCTATAATAACAAGAGCGTTCCAGAAGCTGCCTGCCAATAGCCTGGCTCCGTTTACTATGACATAACTGGTTTCTCTCCAACTTTTCCTTGGTAGATGCAAATGATAACCAGAAAATGTCAAGACACATTATAGCACCATGTTCCTCCTTACAGCACAGCTTAACCCTTTATGATTGGTGAGCAAAAGATGTAATGATTTCCATGTAGCTCAGCAGCTCAGAGTGAGAGCTGATGCTGAGACAGCCACTGTGGAGTGTCAGGGCCATCTGGGGCTTCCTGGACATCCAGTTGTGTAAGGATGTGGCATGCTTCTGGGACAAATGGTGGGTCTGTCCTTTGTAGCTCTAAGGATTCCCTACACAGGTGTGGAATCTGAACCCCTCTTCCCTGCAGAAGTAGGCAATGAAGTCTGTCCTGGAAGAAATGGATACTCAAAGATTTCAAAGTGGCTACATTCAGTTGAAAATAAAGAGATAAGCTCCACTATTAAGTTTGGTCATCTTTAACCAAGGCTTTTCTGTAAGACAGGTCTTTAGAAAGAAGGTTGCACAGGTGAATAGAGAAGGAATGGAGTCATATAGAAGAACATGCAGTATCCTAGTCCCCAAATAGATTGCCAGACTCTTTTTTTCTTCTAGTTCACTTTTTTACTAAGAAATTTTCTATTCATTTTACATACCAATCACAGATCGTCCTCTTCCCTCCTCCCACCCCTCCAGCCTCCCTCCTCACCCCACCCTCCATTCCCTCCTTCAAGTAGGTAGGGCCTCCCATGGAGAGTCAGCAGATCCTGGTATCTTCAGTAGAGGCAGGTCTGAGCCTCCTTCCCCTGCCTCAAGGCTGTACAAGGTGTTCCACCACAGGTAGTGAGCGCCAAAAAGCCTGCTCATGCACCGGGGATGGATCCATATCCTACTGCCAGGGGTCCCCTTAAGTAGATCAGGTTACAGGATTGTCTTTCTGATGCAGAGGGCCTAGCCCAGTCCCATGCAGGCTCCACTGGTATTGATCTAAATTTCATGAGTTCCAACTAGTTTGGTTTGGTTGTCTCTGCAGGTTTCTCCATCATGATCTTGATGCCCCTTGCTCATAGAATCCCTCTTCTCTCTCTTTGACTGGACTCTTGGAGCTCGGCCTGGTGTTTGGCTGTGGATCTCTGTATCTGCTTCTATCAGTTACTGGAGAAAGACTCTATGATGACAGTTAGGGTATTTACTGATCTAATTACAATGGTAAGCCAGTTCAGGCACCCTCTCCACTATTGCTAGTAGTCTAAGCTGGGTTCATTCTTGTGGATTCCTGGGAACTTCCCTAGCACCTGGGTTCTCATTATCCCCATGGTGTCTACCTCTATTTTGGTATCTCTTTCATTGTTCTCCCACTCCATCTCTGTTCCGGCTTGACCATCCTGTTCCCTTATGTTCTCATCTCCCATCCCCTACCCTCCATTGCCACTCCCTCCCCAGTTTACTCATGGAGATCTCATCTATTTCACCTTCCCAGGGCAATACATGAATCCTTCTTTGGATTTTCCTTTTTAAGCTAGATTTTCTGGAGCTGTGGGTTGTAGTCTGGTTATCCTTTGCTTTACATTTAGTATCCACTTATGAGTGAGTACATACCATGTTTGTCCTTCTGAGTCTCGATTACTTCACTCAGGATGATATTTTCTAGTTCTATCCATTTGCTTGCAAATTTCGTGATGTCATTGTTTTTCACTGCTGAGTAGTACTCCACTGTGTATAGGTATCACATTTTCTTTATCCATTCCTTGGTTGAGGGGCATCTAGGTTGTTTCCAGGTTCTGGATATTACAAATAATGCTGCTATGAACATAGTTGAGCATGTGTCCTTGTGGTATGATTGAGCATTCCTTGGGTATATGCCCAAGAGTGGTATTGTTGTGACTTGAGGTAGATTGATTCCCAATTTTCTGAGAAACTGCCATACTGATTTCGAAAGTGGTTATACAAGTATGCACTCCCACCAACAGTAGAGGAGTGTTCCCATTGCTCCACATCCTCTCCAACATAAACTGTCATCAGTGTTCTTGATCTTAGCCATTCTGACAGGTGTAAGATGGTATCTCAGAGTCATTTTGATTTACATTTCCCTGATGACTAAGGATGTTGAACAATTCCTTAAATGTCTTTCAACCATTGTGATTCTTCTGTTGAGAATTCTCTGTTTAGCTTGGTAGCTCATTTTTTCATTTTATATTTTATATTTTTAAATATAACTGTCGATTAAAAATAATAATGGTGAGCATGGATTTCAATGCATCAAACATGTAAGAATACATAAATTCATAGTAGACTCGAACAAAAATACTCATTAGCTGTCATTGGAGTGCATAGTTCCAATTCACCATTATTTTAGTTTGCATTTCTTTTTTTATTCTGTGTGTGTGTGTGTGTATGTGTGTGTGTGTGTTTGTGAGAGAGAGAGAGAGAGAGAGAGAGAGAGAGAGAGAGAGAGAGAGAGCGAGCAAGAGCGCAGTAGTGGTTTGGAGTACCAGTGGAGGTCTGAGGACAACTGTGGTTTTCTTTCTCCACCATGTAGGTTTCAGGGGTCAAAGTATCTGCCAGGCCTGACAGAAGCCCTTGCTCTATGGAAATTAGACCCTGACCCTTAAGCGGCCTTTGATGTTTGTCTACCTCCCTTACGTCATCAGTGGTTGTAGAACACAGGTGTGTGGGGCTGACTTTCTTTCATGTTTATTTACTAACTGCCTGTCTTCTGTAGGTTACGTCTCCCGTGCGTGCCTTAGCTCTCCCAATGAACACTTGATGAGGAAATGGGGCTGGCTTCATTTTTTCCCCATTTCACTTCATCTTAGGAAGGTTGAACTAGGGCCTGTAGCTCATTTTTTTTATTGGATTGTTCGGTATTTTGATGTCTAGTTTCTTGAACTCTTTATATAATTTGGAGATCAGCCCTCTGTCAGATGTGGGGTTGTTGAAGATCTTTTCCCATTCTGTGGGCTGTTGTTTTGTCTTATTGACCGTGTCCTTTGACTTACAGAAGCTTTTCAGTCTCAGGAGGTCCCATTTATTAATTGTTACTCTCAGTGTCTGTGCTACTGGGGGTGTTATATTTAGGAAGTGGTCTCCTGTGAGTGCCTGCCTCTTGCTGTCCCAATTAGAGACTCTCAGAGAACGAGCTATAATGGTAAAGCACCAGCAGCTTCAGGAATGCCCCAGTCCTCCTGTCGCTGACTTTGAAGTTATTTCACTTTGTACGGTTACTTCTCAGGGATTGATGGGGATTTCTTTGGTTACATGCATTGCTCCATGTGTTTCCAGTCCTTCCTTCAGATTGAGGAGACATGCCTGGGTGCCTGTAACTCTCTCCCCTCTGAGGTATGCATGCTGTGTCAGAAATATAGGCAAATTCATTTGTGTTTGTTTATAGTGTCACAATTTATGGAATAACCATAAATTCACAAGACAAAGCATTGTTTTGGGTTTATTTCCTAGATATGGTTTATCTTTGCAACCCTGGTTTTCCTAGAACTTGCTCTGTAGTCCAGGCTAGCTTCAAACTCAAGATCCTCCAGCCTCTGAATCCCAACTGATGGGATTGAAAGCATGTGCCACCAGCACTTGGCTCAAGACACACCAGTTTTAATGGAAGCAACTGTCCAGGCAGTTCTTCTTTTCTTGGTAACCCTGGTAAAGGCAAACACAGGTTTTTTAATTCAACATTAATTACTAATATTCACTCTCAAATAGCATAATATACAAAACAGTAAATCCATCTCTCTATTATAAACACATACATACATATATACATGTATTACAGAAATGGCTGTAAAGTGTTAATAGGCCACAGCAGAATTCAAGAGGTTTCTGAAGTCCTGAGGAGCAGAGAAACAGAGGAATGTAAGTAGAATCTACATTGATAAGATAATAAACCAGGGTGTAGGGAGAAGCTGGAGAAACTGAGGTAACTGTAAGTCAGGCCACTTCAGGTCACCTGCTTGAAATCAAAGCTGCAGAGTTGAGTTTAGCTACAGAAGCACAGAGCAGGACCAGGCTGGGATGAAGGATGGAGGACAGATGGATGGAAGGTCCAGTTGGGGGAACAAGAAGATAAACCAATGACAGTAGAGTCAGCTATATCTACAGCAGATAAGGAGCCATCCTGAAACCCTGGGACAGTCCTGAGTTCTCTGCCTGTTGATCCTTGACACACAAACCAAGAGCTCAGATAACAGGTAGGTGGGGCTTTCACAGTGCTATCTGTCCCCCATTTTATGGTTTCCAATGAGGAATTACACTCTTTCATTGGTCTAATTGTCCTGTAAATTCTTGGGCTTGGCATTCAAATATGGTATACTTCATGTGCCCCATAGAGTCACAATTAAACTGATAAATTTATAGATTGTCACCATTTATACTCTTTAAAGTAAATCATTTTTTTTCACCTGTGTTGGGTGGGTGGTGCCAGACAGGTGGCACCATTCATGTGCCCATCCAGGTGCACAGTCATTCTTCATTCTCAAAATAGAGTCAAAAGCCACTTTTCCTAGAAATGGAGTCTCTCAGGGCAGTGAGTCTCACAGTCTGAAAAACAATTGTTTTACACAGTATGGAGAATTTAGGATAGATTACAGTCTGATCTCAACACCTTCTAAAGAGTGAGTTTCCAGGTAGCCCTCCAGAGTCCTCAATCTTATTATTATTATAGCCTTTGCTTATTACTTCTCATCACTGATGGTGGCTTGTTTAACCCTTTCCTTGTCCCTAGTTGTCATAGCTGGGACCATGCTTGTTCAGAGGGGCTTGAGTGGGCAAGAGGGGCAGAGCAGCAACATGACCTCAGAGGACATGTAAAGTAACTGACAGATCAGCAGAGCTGATCCAGTGTCCCAAAGTGCTGAGAGGCCTCTCATCAGATACTGGCGGAGTCCAGGCTTGTGTGGGAGGAGGAGGAGAAGGAAAGA